TGCCTAAGCCTCCCAAGTAGTGAGAGTACAGGCAAGAGTCAAAATGCCCAGCTCTTTTTAATGTCCTTTCACTTGTCACAATGTCCTCCAAGTAGGAGATGTGTCAGGATTTTCTCTTAAAGGCTAGGGATGCCTCTTGGTGACTGCCTCTTAATCCTAGCACTCAGTCACAAGGCGTAAGGATCGCCATCAGTTCAAAGTCCGTGTGGGCTGCATAGTAAGAGCCTGTTGATATTCCAATGTGTGTGTAGCATATTTTATTTATCTAGAAATCTAACAATAGACATTTGGAGTGCTTCTACCTTTAGGGCATTTAAATTCTCTACAGCTATATTTCTCTGTTTTCTATTGCTGCAATAAAACCGAAAGCAACTTGGAGAGGAAAGGGTTTATTTTTTACAAAGTCCAGGTCAGAGTCCAGTGAGGAAAGCCAAGGCCGGGGGCCTGGAGGCCGTGACTGAGCAGCCCAGAGGAAAGCTGTTTACTGCTTGCTTCTCACGGCTGCTCACCCTGTTTCCTTATTCGTCCCAGGACCATCTCTCTGCCCAGTGCAGGCAGTGGGCTGGACCCTCCCACATGGGCGGTAATCAACACAATGCCCAAGGAGTTGTCCACAGGCCAATCTGATGGGGACATTTTCTCAACTGAAGTTCCTCTTTCCAGATAACTCTAGCTTGTGTCGGGTTGAGAGAAGGCCACGCAGGACAGCAATTACAGACACAGCGCAGAGCACTTTCTAGACTTAATGTTTCAGTTAAGTCCGCACATCGCACAGGAAGATTTAACTTAAGGAATACCAAGTTTTCATCCAATTATTTTCCAATTTTCTCCCTAAATACCTTTTTTTTTTTTTTTTTTTTTAAGTTTTCATGTTTTTAATTATTTAGTCAGTCTTTTATTTTTATGTGTTTGTGTGTGTGGTCGTGTGAGCTTATGTACCCCACATGCATTCGTGATCCTGTGGAGCAGAAGAGGGTATAGGGTTCCCTGGAATTGGAGTTACAGACAGTTGTGAGCTGCCATGTGGTTGCTGGGAATTGAACCCAGGTCCTCTGGCAGAGCAGCCAGTGCTCTTAACCCCTGAGCCATCTCTCAAGCCCCTAAATATCTTTCATAAGTGGTTTCTCCACAGTGATCTAAGCTGTGACCATATTACCCGTTAGGGTGTTGGTTCTTTTGGTTTGTTTGGGGTTTTTTGTTGTTTTTTTCAAGACAGGGTTTCTTTGTAGCTTTGAAGCCTGTCCTAGAACTTGCTCTGTAGACCAGACTGGCCTCGAACTCACAGACTTCCGCCTGTCTCAGCCTCCCCGAGTACTGGGGTTAAAGGCCTGTGCCACCACCACCCGGTGTGGTGTTGGATCTTACCTTTAACACAGCTTCTCTTTCAAGGCCGACAGCTTGTTTGAGGGCTTATTATTCTGTTTTGCTTGTTTGCTTGAGACAGGCTTTCTTTGTGTTGCCCCGACTGTCCTGGAACTCACTCTGTAGATCTGGCTAGCCTCAAACTCAGGGATCTACCTGCCTCTGCTTCCTGAGAGCTGGGTTCAAAGGCGTGTACCATCTTCCCTGGCTTGAATTATCATTCTTAACTCTCTTCTTTTTGGTTTGGGTTTATTTTGTCTTCTGCTCCTGTTACTTGGCTAAAATTGCATCGAGAACTCAAACCCAAACCGATTTCTCTGTCTTCCACAACGGGCAGTTCTTAGCAGTCTCTCCTCCTGGTCTATGTGACATCCTCCCAATTAATGCCATTTTATAAACATTTCTAAATGGGGCTAATGACTTCCGTTTAGAACTGTCCCTTTGTATGGCTTCTTTCTTCTCTACACTAAATTTCTATTTGTTAAAATACTTACTCTTCATGCCGGGCGGTGGTGGCAC